CGCTCAAAGTCTTTCTACTTGAGAAGCACTTTACTGTTCAGACTAATGCCTGCATGGGTGGCAGAGGGATAGGGGGCAGGTCTCCTGTGTAATCTTGTTACTTATAACTTTTTAAAAAAAGATAATTGATCTAAAAGCAATTATTTTACGGAAATCACTGCTAGCAGATAGCTGACTTCTGTCATCCATTGCAGATGCACTCTGAGTGTCACCCTGGAGCAGGCGATCATTCTGGCTCGGAGCCATGGGCTACCTCCTCGCTATATCATGCAAGCTACAGATGTCATGCGCAAGCAGGTAGGATGCTCGCTAGGGGTAAGATCTTGATGATTCCTGACAAGACTTGTTATCATCACACAAGAATGACTTGACCAAGCATTTTTTTTAACCTCCATCTTAATGTTGTGCAATGTCTGCATGAGTTTTCTTAGTTTGGGTATTTTGTTGTGTTTTTTTTTTTTTTTAATTATCTTCCTTTATTGTTATCTGAAAGGTGTTTTCTATAAATAATGGAACAGGCTGTTTTTAACCAGATGCTTGCTTCCTCTGTATCTGTAAACGGATCATAATTTTTGCAGAGTTGTAATTTTACTTAATGATTTTTGTGTAGTAACTGCTGTGGCATTACCTTGTATCAGAATAGTCTGTTGAGTAAGAAAATTTTTATTTTATTATATATTATCCATAAAAATATCTTAAGATTATTGAGTTTATTTAAGATAATTAAGATTATTGTTAATAAAAAATGACTCATGTACTGAATGAAGGGGAAGTGTAGGAGGGGAAGGGAGAAATAAATACCATGGTTCTTAACTTTCCAGGCAAGATTCCTGAGGACAATCTGCTTATTTCAAAAGAGAGTTTTTCACTCCTTAATCATAATAGAATATTAGGATTTAGAGGCTGTTGTGGGTAGATAACCACCTCAAAATGAATTCGTAGTGCTAAGTATGACAAAAAATGCTGGATTAAAGGGCAACATCAACTGAAAAGGGAAGATACACTACCATATCGGCACAATTTTTCCTAGAATATCTTGTTGTCAGATAAATACTTTCAAAAGGACGTTTGGAATGTTGGAAGGCGTTCAGAGGAGGAGCACAAATGATCCAGAGGTTGTTAGACAAGGCTTATGAAGTGAAGATTAAAGAGCTCAACCTATTCAGTTGATCAAAGAGAGGTTGAGTGGAGGCTTAATCACTTTGTGTGCATATGGAACATATATCCGAGCCTGTGGTAGCTTTCAACCTTATGAAAAAAGCATAAACAAGGTACAGGATGCACTCAATCTTGAAGTGGAAAAAAAGATAATTAAGTATTGGAACAATTAATCACAGATAAGACAAAATTCATAACTTCTGGGTTTTAGTTGCATCTAATTTTATTGTTTTCATTAATTCCACTACATACTCTGTGCAGCAATCACAGTTTAGTGATGAAAATGATTAAATGGCTGTACTTTACTTGCTGTTGACAAAAATACACATATGGTAGAGCAAACCATTAAAGCAATTCTGTAGATATTCTCAAGCCATAGATTCCAATCAGTTATACAGAAGTGCTGCTGCCTAACATGGATACATCAGAGTAATTAATCTCATTCCTTTTCATATTGGACTTTCACCGTATTCGGTTCATAAACTAAGTTTCTATGGTGAATAAGTACCCTCAAGGTTCTTGAATCACATCATGTAGGTCTGCTCAGGAATTACAGCTTTAACTTGACTTGAAAAAAAAGCTACTGCTGTATAAGGATAGACTTGTATGTATAGGTTGATTATGTATGCTCCTGAAGTTGTAGACAAAAGGCAGATCTGAGTATTTTGCAATCAAAAAACATGGACATAGTGTTTTGCCTATGTCTGCTTACAGGATGTATTATGTCAAAGGGTACATTTTCAATGTACAGTTCTAGACCGTTTTCGAAAATGCTGATTCATTTATGGATCTTCTGCAGTTTATTACAAGAAAATCAAAGACAAAATGAAAGTAGCTTGCATGATTTTTGAACAGCTGTAACTGTACTTGCTCAAATAGAGATGTAGAAAGAAGCCTCCAGTGAGGCTACATTCTCTGAAGTAAAACAGCAGGTGATCAATAGCTGTTAAAGATACCAATATCTCAGTACCACCCACAGAAACTGCAAAAATGTCTGCTGGTACATCAAGCCAGTCTTTTTTCACACGTTCTTCCTCTTGCAGGAAACCACTATGGCATTTAATAGAGCAATAATCTTTTGTTGTAATTTTAAATCAGTATTGGAGTTCTGTAGTAGAAATATAACCCTCCATTAAATTCTAAGTGTTTTGGAGTAATTTCAGCAATGCACTGTGGTATTTTCTAGAAACCTGTTCTGAATTTAATGTTTAAATTATCAGTAGGATTTAACTGTCAGGAGCATAATGCAGGCCATAAAATTTACACGAGAAAAAGAAAAAAAACAAAACCAAAAGCACACTTCTGGTGTTTCATGCAGAACATTTAGTTCAGGGCAATACATGTGTCTTTTACCTGACTTAATATAAAAACACCAACCAAACAAAAACTTTGTTAGCCCATTTACACCCTGAATCTTTTGTGGAATAAAGAGATCAGCCACAGGGAGGTGCAAATGAAAGGACATCTGTTCTATCTGTTCTTCTGGAGAAGCCAACAATATTAGGTCCTAGCAGTATCCACAGGGGGAAGATGTCTCCACTCGAAGCTGATACCTCTTCAAGCTTGGGGCACCAGCACTGAATAACTGGAGACACCTGATTGAGTGGATGACCTCAGGACATGTTTTTTTCTTTTAAACTGAATGAGGTTGTGATCATGTTTAACAAGACTCATAATAGTCCTGACTGTATCATTGGAACAATTTTCATAGTAATTGCCCTGTCAGTTATAATTAGTTATCTGCAAGAGCCTGTTCTGTGAGAACTAAAGAAAGAGACCAACATGTGAGAGTTGGTATGAACTTGGGTCTGTTGGCTGTTAGTTAAGTGGTTTCTGTTTTTCATCTGTTAATCCAGTCTAGATTGATTTTTAAAATAAAAATTTTGACAATACATCCTAACTATATTTTAGTAACTTTATTTACTCATGAAAATAAACCTATCATTTTTTTTCTCATGGCAATGAGAATAGTGGTTCATATATGAGAGTCCACACTGATGGCAGTGTCTCCTCAGAGCTGTTGGCATCTTTCACCAGTGCTCTGGCAGTACTGGTATGCAGCGGGAAGCATTCTGGAGACGTGTAGCACAACTATCCCTTATGCCTATGTGAGATGAACAGTGTCAATATTTACAATGGTATAACTTTACGAATAATATTGGAGAAGTATAAATTAACAGTGTATTGAAATAGAAGTGGTATAATGGTGCTCAGGAGAGACAAAGAGATGTCATATAGCAAGTTGCTAGTAATTCTTGGGGACTTTTCCTCAAAAGAAATAAGAATTTGGTGGTTGTAAGTAAGGTGTAATTTGTTCTCCTCTAAACAATAAATTACATGGTTGTATAAAGCTAGACTCCTTTTTGAATCAACACATTTGATTTATTATGTGAGCAAGATACTAAATTAATTTATCTAGTGAGTGATGCGAGTAAAAATAGGCTTGTTTTGTTCTCAGAGATAGTCACAGCACTGACGTTCAGGATCCACATGTGATTAATTTAGATAGTTTTCTCATGTATATATATATTCTGGCTCTCAGTTATGTTAATTTATATGCCAGTCTCAGCAGTCTGTCATCGTGGTGTTTCATTCTTATGATAAAATTTTAGAAAATGGCACTGAGGAAGGTACATTGAAGATGATGAAGGTCTGGACTCAACAAGTCTAACTTTGTAGCCAACCCTGGATCAGCTGTCCTCATAGAATTCATCACAGACACTTGTCGTTCTTTAAGGTTCTTAAACCTCCAGTAGTGGAGACTCCTGCACAGTGCTTACCAAGTGGTCTGTTCCAGAGTTTTCTTAACCTTTTTGTTAGGATGTTTTACTTAGTGCCTCATTTGAGTCTTTTGTTTGTTTGTTTTGGTTTTCCACCTTCGATTTAAGTCTCCTGTTTCTGTCTATTATATTGTAGACTTAGAGACTAGGTTTTACTCCCTTTTTAGCAGTAAACTTTTAGTATTTCGAATGTTTCCAGAGGTGGGGCATCTACAGCCTCTCTGGTCAACTCGTTCCAGTGTTTCACCATCCTCATAGTAAAAAATTTCTTCCTTACATCTAGTCTGAATCCACCTTCTTTCAGTTTAAAACCATTACGCCTTGTCCTGTTGCTACAGGCCTTACTAAAAAGTCGGTCCCGAATTTGATTATCGTTTCCCTCATAATCCCTTCCCATCCGTTGTATAGACAGAAGAACATCAGTTCATCTGATCTTTCTTTTTCAGTTGTGTTTTCTTACCTAATAATTCTACCTGTTCTCCTCTGAGCTCTTTTCAAGTTTTTATTAAAAATGAGAAGTAACTGTGAAGAATTACAAAAGGATCTTACAGGACTTCATGTCTGAGTAATAAAACGGCAGATGAAAATCAGTGCAGATAACTCTTAAGTGATGTACATGGAGGAAAAAACAAACCTTAAGTTCACATTCAAAACAATTGACTGTGACCTTGCCATTGCATCTCATGTTCAAGACCTCAGGATATCATAGAAAATACCAGCTTAATTCTCAGTAGCTATCAATAAAGCAAATCAGAAGTTATAACGGTTCACACAGGGATAGACAACTAAGTAGAAATCATACTGTCATGACCTTTCATTTTGAACTGATTTTCTGATTTTCTGATCCATTCTGTAAGGACTTAGCATGATGAAAAAAGCTTCAAAGAAGGTTAGAAAAAAACGATCAATGTTTGGGAGTGGTTTATAGACAGGACAGACAGACAAAATAATCTAGGATTGTTCAGCTTCATAACTGAAGAAGGATATGACAGAGGTCTAAATGTGACATGGGTCAGAACTGACCATTGTCCTCACCAGTGCAGAACTAAAGGCATCAAATGAAACTGGTAGATTCAAACCAAATGAAAATTGTGGTTCTTGACACCACAAGCTATGATTGTACCCAAGATGTGGATCTCCTTCCACGAGGAGGCTAGTGATGTGAAGTTATTCATGGGTTCAAGATGAGATGGGAAAGAAGAGAAGAGAATCACTGAAATTGATTAAATACCTGCTTGCTGCTGAACAGAGGAAGTATTGAGTGACTAATGATTGAATTCTGGAGGAGTTTCTGGGGAAAGAGAAAGACATATGTTCGTTGTGGTCTGTAGTCATGTGTCTTTTGCAACTGTCAGAGACAACCTTACTGAGCTAGAGGTAAAGCTAGTAAAATCACTTTTATATTGTGCCTTCAGTTTTGTAGGTACCCTAGTTATTTTCCACTTTTTTTTTATTTACCGCTATTTTTTTTTTCCTAAAAGAAATGGAAGGACACAGTAGTTTGTGGCACATGTTGTTTGACATAAACTCTGAGAACCTACCTGTATATGATCAGCCAGCAGCCTTTTTCTTCTTTTGTTGGAGCCCGTACAGTGAACTAATACCTGGGTACCAGATTTCAGTCAAATGCAAGGTCTAGTCTTATTATATGTATTGAATCAATGATTATACCTCATTTTTACATCATGTGCAGCTGCCATTGCAGCTCTGTTTGGAATGTAAATTATATTTGATGTTTCACACTAACCCAAGATCTCACTCTAAGAATTCTGAGACTATATATATATTTGTTCTCTGTTATTTTGTCCTGAATTTAGATAGTACAGAAGGAGAAAAAAAGGGAGAGTCAGTGTGTGTAATACAGACAGAACAAGTAGTTTCCATCTCCTTTAAAATTTTAGAAAACATAACGAAACTGTACATCTAATGGATATGTTTCTTTAAGATGACTACTTTACATTAATAAAACTGCACTTAAAAAGCTAGACCTCATCCTTTAAAAACAAATTTTACTAAGTTCTTTCATATGTCTGTTTGCAGAAGAATCTGCATTTTTCACTATCACGGCATGTAAACATTGTGCATCTTTTACCAATTTCCTCCTTACTGGATGAGTCTATGAGACAAAAGTACTTTCAGCATTGTTTTTCAAAGGATCAGTTGAGGTACAGAGACACCAGCTTTTCTAGTTAACCTTGCTTTAAGCAGGGGTGTTGGACTAAAGAATCTTGGGAGTTCCCTTCCAACCTTAGTGTTTTTTGTGATTCTGTGATTATAGAGGAAGATCAGGACCTGCATTTTCCTAATTGTAATGTAGTGCCTCAATTTAAGCTATTTTCCTAGGTTTAAATAGAAAGCTATTCCTAGAAATAGTCTGTATTATTTGTTTGTTCTGAAATAGATGGGAAATAAGCGACATTTCAGAAAAGAACTCTGCTATCTATGCCTTCTGCAAAGAATGGTGACAAAAATCAAACAAATTGAAACAAGATGTGTTTGGATTGTTTTAAACCTGAAATGTTAATTTGTTATGAAGTCTTTTATGTTAGTAAGAGATGTATGTATGTGTTTATTGAATGACAAGTGGAAAGATTTTGTCTCTTTTCTGCGTATTCTCTAGTTTGAGAATTCATGTACTGCTTTAACTTGTTCCCCAGCTTAGAAGAGGAGAGTTGTTTCAGGATGTGGAGCACATGTGTTACTTAATTATAATCAATAGCTATGTTCATCTGGAAAGTTCAGAAAACTTTCTAACTTGTGTTGGAATAAATGAAGCAAAATTGCTGTTTTTCTTTCACAGGGTGCAAGAGTACAAAACACAGCCAAGAATTTAGGAGTGAGAGATCGAACACCACAGTCTGTCCCAAGGTAACCAATTGTTTCTGTCCTACACCATGATCGTATCCAGTTTGTGCCAGATTCTGTCCTAGCTGCTCAAAGGCTAACAGTAAACATTGACTGTATTGTGCACTGACTGGTAAAATTTGGCTTTTAATGTACATAATATCAATTATGTTCTTAGCCATACAATTTTACTTAATTAATTGCAGAAGTTCAGGCTATGTAGCACTTCAAAACGTGCCCATTTTTGAAAAATGAAATCTAGTTCGTGTTAATTATGAAAACACTGGAGTAAGTCCTTCATCACTTGTGATGTTTAGTGGTTTTGGGGAAATATTTGAAACTAAATCCATAACCCTGTTTTAATGAAATACTGTACTGCAGTATCTCAGCAAACTCATGTTCTAGTTGCTTTTAGAGATGATGTAGTCTTTCTTTGTATCTTTCTGAAACATCCATTAGAATGAAAAATGCGACTGTTCTATATTTATCCAGCTTTTTAATGCCGTGATGGATTGCAGGTACCTGAAATGTTTCTTAACAAGCACAATTCTTATAAATGAAAATAGCCGAACAACAATGTTCTTGATTTTGTCTTAAAGTGGTTTTATTAATCCAGCTCTAATTTTAACTTTTTTTTTGCCAATTTAAAACATAATGTTTTTTGTTGACAACAATAACACATTGAATAAGCTAAACAGATATGTGGAATACATAACAGACCGACTGTGGTGTTTACGTTACAGTAAGGAAACAGTGAATTAGTAATATCTGATATAGGTAACCATGTGAATGAACATATATGCTATCCATAGCCTCACAGAAAGACCGTCTTCTGGGTTCTGACTGCTAATATTCAGGAACTTTTTCTTACACAATTTGCTCTCCTTTTCTGAATTGTCCCAGTTTCCCCCAGCAGGGAATCAGGCTACTGCTCATACTTTGTAACAAATCACTGCACATTTGTTCCATTCCTATGCTCAATCTGATTTTAGAAAAGGAGTGTACCCTAAGCGCACAACGTACGAGTAAATCTGAGTAGCATCTGCTGTTCAGTTGCTGAGTAGCAACATTTGGTGGAGCATACATGCATCTTGCATGCCCCATAAAGGAGATTAAATAAGATTCAACAAAAGTACTGATTCTAGTGTAAACCCATCAGCAAGAAAGTCCTTGCCCTTACCAGCAGATGAGGGCGTCCCTTCTCACAGTAGTGATTAGCTTAGAGACAATCCAGGACCAAAATTCCTGGCCAAATGTCTTGCATTGTGGGCACCTAAGGCAGTAAAATAACATTTTATTACGCTAAAACTGATGAGAAGCCTTTTCATATTTTGAACGGTATGGTTTTGGCCTTAAATGGATGACTCCTTCATGACATAATTCTGGAGACAGACAAAGAATTGTTGCAAACCAAACTTTTCCCACCTCTAAATGACAGAGCATGTGTCTAGATTCAGAGCTTTGTGATAAAGGAACAATCTAAGTTCTTAAAAAGAAAAACTTCGCCATGAGACATTTTTTGGTTTTGCATCAGTTGAAGAGGATAGCTTTTTTCCAGTTGACACTCCCTCAACATAGCAATGAAAGCTGAGGAAAAATTATGAGATGGCTCCTAGAACATAGAATAGACAGATGCATCCAGCACACTTGGCCAGTCATCAGCAACAGCAATGTCATAGAATTATCTCATTGACTTCAGTGTTTGAGGCATTTAGTGTACCATTATTCTGACTTACACGACTTACCTCTCCAATCATCAGCAGGAGTGATACTTTTGATGTACTGGTAAACGATACTGTGGGTTCTCAGTTCTTTGCCTTGAAAAGAACTTTACGATTACATTTGGTTCCATTTGGTGTAGCTTGACGGTGTTTTCTGTTCTCTGCAGTTGCCACTGTTTTCTATCTTTTCTCAGCTGATCTGTTTGTACTATCTCAAATAGTTGTTCCATATATATTGACCCAGAACAGGCTGTTTCTGCACTATACTGTCTTCAGCAACTATAGGTCCTTAGGGATTTATGCAGCCTTGTTGTTAGTTTGGTTCAGAATTGCTCTACATCACTTGCTCTGAAGACAAGTAATCTTAATGATTGCCATTTTAACCTGAAGAATACACAGACCTTGGTACTTGGGGCTGAGCTTTCCTCTACATTGTTCCATAGAAATTAGATTTTTCTAAAGCATCATCAAGAACTAACCCCACTGCAATTACTTAGATGAGATTCTGACAGTAATTTTATCTGTCTTTTGCCAGCTTTGAATATTACTGCTTTATTACACCAGCAGAATCAAATAACTCAAATAAACCCTTTTTATTTTTCTCTGCGTACTTGTCTGTATAAAGATCAGGCCATCTTATTCTCTCATTGGTATACAAATATTAGATATATGTGTATTGGCTTATATATGGCTCTGAACAAATACATTGGTGTCTCAACAATTTGACCTTAAATGATCACGTTTCTGAATTTGTCAGATGACAATGTAGAAAAGCCCATTGATCTTCAGAACACGTTATGGTGGAGGTTTGAAAGCAGGTTTGCAAGTGCTGTTTAGCTGACAGACTGATGCTCCCCGTTCTTGCCATCCAGAAACAGTACTGCTTGATAATCACTTCCAGTGAGATTCAGAGTGAAGTTATTTAGCCCATGGCTATTGTGTGTTGTCAGTGTCCCATGGGTTTTAACTCCTAAGGGAACTGAAATCAGAGAACAGCAGCTATCCTGCCCTGCTCTTGCATAGCCACAAGATGGTTTTTCTGACAAGATTTGCCTAGATGTTGAAGAGGCTTATGGTACTCACAGGGACAGCCGTACATACCATGCCTCACATAATTTCAGTAGCAGAATATCATGCCAAGAAGGCACCAGCCCATTGATCTTGAATTGTTTGTGGAGCCCAGCCACGTGTGTAGGATTTTGTTGTCTATGTTGATTTGTAGTATGATTTTGAAATTTATGAGTAGTTAAAATGAAGTCATATAAATTAATGTGATGTTTAGCTGGCAAATTTACAAAATATACTTGGAAAGCTGAGATACCCTGAGCATCTTAAATACCCCTAGCCCCCAAGCCACTGGGTGATTCACCACCCTACCTGTAGCCAGACCTACCGAACCTGCTATTTCTATTGCTTTGGTATTTCAGTAGCAGAGATTCTTCATGTTAAGTATTAATTGCACGTGCTGTATCTTTGTCTCTTTGTTTTTGGTTTCTGATGCTTTTTCTCCTTCCCATGCCATGTTTGGTCTCTTCTCTTTGCTATTCCTTCAGTGATACACTTTCCCTGAGGAAAATATGTAATCTCCAAATGAGATCATGTCTATTGCTGGTTCTAATTGCTGTGGTTGCAGGGGAGATACTGTGTGTTAGACATACTTATAGAACAGAGACCCCAGGTCAAAACAATTGCCGTTCATTTTCAGCATTCCTAATGTTAGGGTAGTTGCAAGCAATTGCTAATAAACAAGTCCATGCAAAAGAGTTTAAGAGAAATTCAAAAGCCTTTTTAAATGAAGCAGTGGCTATTTCAGTCTGTACTGAGGTAGTCATTCGAACCAAATCTTACTGGTCTTGACATCATACATGTAGAAATGGGGGGGGAAGAGTTTAAAATCTTCATGCTGGCAGGTCACATGTCTGACATCTGTCTTAGGTTCTTCAAACAGCACTGTGTTAGAGTGAGGTCTGACTGTGCCAAAGCAAAACAAAACAAAAATGGAGTCAATTGCATTTGCCAAGCAGCTTTTCCAGTTCAGAAATTCAGAGCAACAGATGGTAATTGGATTAGTGGAGACTTAGCTTGCTCCAGAATGGGGAAATATGAAATATGAAAACTTGACTGAAACGGAATGTCTTTATAAGATGGCTTATAGATGTGTGTTTTAATGATACCACTTTTTTTTTTTTTTTACTGGCTTTATATCAATGCTATTAAACTGAATTTAGTACCTCTCTTTTTGCAGTGCAGGAAGACTTAGATTTAGTTTGTGTTCCTTAAATTTACCCATTTTAATTATGACCAAGCTCTCAGAATAACAATTGCTTTTTTTTTTTTTTTGTCATTCTCAGATTATACAAACTATGCCAGCCGCCACCACCTGTTGGAGAAGAATGAGGAGAACTGCTCCAGAAAATAATCCAGTAACGGCCTTTAGGATACTGGGACTATATGACAAAATCTAACTGCACCATAGCAGTATGTGGCTGGGATGTTGATAAATGAAAAACCCGTTTACTCAGGATAAAGAGAGAAATACCCTAAATAATCTCTGTTGGCATTGAAAATTACTTCCAAAAAGCATTTCTGAAATCTGTGCACTCTGGTGTTACACTAGAAGAACAGGAATCTTCCCTGGGAATTTTACACTGGAATCAGATTCATTTGATGTGTCTTGTTCAGCCACACGATAGGTATAGCCAGCAGCTTGAAAACAAATGTCTTTTTCAGAGAGAATGACTTCACTTGCACGCTGTACAGAATGCGTTCTTGTGGAAGGCATAAAAGCCTAGATAAACTGGGTTTGATAATGAGCATGCACTTCATGTGGGGCCCTTTGCACTGATAATCCCTTTTTTCCTGTCGCCATCATAATTTCTCAGAACGATGACATTAGTGTTTCAAGGATATAACGTAAGTGAGGTTTAAAGATGGAAAACTCATCTCGGAATTGTGTTTAATGGCTGCAGGCAGACTGCTGCTATAAACGTGTGCTTGTAATCAGTAAACTCAGCCGTGTCTTAAGCAGTCTGTTGTCGTACTCCTTCTAAAGGAGTACCTATATGGCATATGAGGTGAAGTTTTGCTCTTTTTCAGTTGGCATTTTAATGAAGGAGAGCAAAGGTAAGTCTGATCTTCATCCATAGTTAGACTGAATGTCAGACTTTGTCTAGTGGATATTTTACATTACCGTGCCTCTGTATTTCGGATTTCTCCAGAGTTGTGTATGTTCTTGTATAGTACTGTACTAGCAAATTTACGTAAGGCAACGATGAGGCAGTACTGTTATGTTTAACTGGAAATGTCTGTGGTTTAAGTTGAAGCATAGTTTGGGAGTTTGATGTTTTATGCTACCATTTCCCATATTTTCTCAGAATTGTTTTGCATTTCAGTTCTTTGGAGTGGTAATTGTTATAGATTTATTTTGAACTTGTAATGAGTACTTAGAGGACCCAGGGAAAATGTATCTCCATTTGGCTGTTCTTTTGGCCAAAGAATTTTCAGAGAAAATGCCCCCAGATGAGGTTTCATGTGTGAACACATTAAAACAAAAACTATACTCTGAAATAGTTCTACTTGTAGCAGTAACCACGAATTCTATTAGAGCAGGACATAGACTGAATAAAATTTATTTTTTTTTTTGTACAACAGCAGCCTATAGTTATGCTGTAGCAACCAAACCTCACAACATAATTGTTGCATGTCATCTAGTTATTTATGAAATCTTCAACAAATATATTAATCCATGATGAAATAAGCGAGAATTCAAGATGAGCTACACTCTTGCAGAGAGTGTTTTTTATATAGGATATCTAGGGGACTTGTTACTTTTCTCCAAAGGAGGAATTAGAGCTCCTGCCTTTTTCAGTATTCTTAATGTTTTTACACAGACTTTAACTTTGCTAAGAAAATAAGTATTTTTATATATCCACAGATATATATGTCTGCACATATATGTGAGTTTCAATATGTATATATTTATGTAGTCATATCAATTACTGGTCCAACCTTAAATATAGAATGTTTGCCTTAAACTGTGACAAAGACTTGCAATAATGAACACTTCCG